ATTCTACTAATCTGCTCTCATTAAGCTATGCACATTTCCTCTACTAATAATAATGTATTAATCAGGTTAAGTTTCTCTAGAAGGCAACACATCAGAGCCCACCTCTACATTTTATTCTTGAAGGACTGATCTGGATCAGTTAAATGCTGTCAGATATATCAGATAATGAAACTATTACCATTAAAAGCATCTAGTGTGAGACTGTTTCTCCTCTTTATTACAGTGTTCCAATAAGTGGAAGTAAGGATCCACCAGTATGTTCAGTGGGGGGTCAGGTTTTTTAATTTCAGTTTTCTCAAGAGTTTCTCAAATCTTACTTTATGTGTCTGCTTGGTTGCATAACAAAATATCATAGACTGGGTAGCTTAAACAACAGAAATTAATTTTCTTTCAGTTCTGGAGGCTAGAAGTCCAAGATCAAGGTGCTGTCAGGGTTGTTTCTGGTGAGAGCTCTCTTCCTGGCTTGCAGAGGCCGCCTTCTTGATTTGTCCTCACGTGGCCTTTCCAATGTGAGGGTAGAGACTCTAAGATAGAGTCTGAGATGCAGACTCCTCTGGGGACTTCTCTCCCACTTATACGGATACCCATCCCATTGGATTAGGGCTTTATATTTGTGAATTCATCCCACTTCCCTACCTCTCTAAAGACTTTTGTATCCAACAGCTATCACATCAAGAGTTAGAACTTCAATGTGAATTTTGGGGGGGGATGCTTCAGTCCATAGCACCCACTTTCTTTAGGAAAAGAAAATTACCCCAAAAGTAATCTTTTCCTGACAACTTTTTTTGCACTATCATTATTCACTTTCAAAAATTGTAACCATACATTTCTGGATTACAAGTAAACTCATGGGTGTTTAGCAATCAGAATGAAATTGAGAAGTAGACCCACACATACATTGACAACTGATTTTCAACAAAGTTGCAAAGACATTTCAGTGGGTGAAGGTATTTTTTTTCAAAAATTGTTCTAGAACTATTGGACATCCACATGAAAAAAATTTGACATTGACTCATATCTCACACCAATACAGAAACAATTTAAAAAGGATCATACCCCTAAATGTAAAACTTAAAGCTAAGTGCCTGCGCTCTGGAGGTGTTCAGGATGCTCACTTTATTATACTCGTTTGTAGACGTGGCCCGGTTTTGGAAGAACATTGGCTTTGTGTCCCAATGTGGGTGAAGGAGCTTTGATAGAAGGATTAATTGAGTGACCAATCTTTGTGCCGAGTTTTTAATCTAGTGTTTGTGATGATTCCTGCCCTTCTAACAACTACTCCTTATCGCCAGCCTTACATTATAGCTCAGCCTCGGACATACTCTTCTGCACACTGTATAAGATTTAAATGTAGATGGTAAATGCTTAAAGCAAGACCGGGATGTACATTTACTGCTGCCTGTGGAAATGTCTGTTTTGAAGGATTAGCCTGCGGGAGGGGAGGCATAAGGAAGTCAATCTGAATTAGAAAATTTATTAATAGTTAACACCTGGTTTAAGTGAGCGTTGAAATGCATCAAGCGCAGGGGCAATCACTTTGCATGAATTATCTCCAAAATATTCATTGATATCCGGTGAGATAGGAACTATTACTATTATTTTACAGATGTGGAAACGGACTTCGCAGGAGCCAACTATTTTATTTAGCCAGAGTTGCCCAGCTGGGGCCAATCACTGCTGCAGGACGCCAGGCTGATTACATGCTCGGCGAGGCCCACTGCAAAATGAAAATACAGGAACCCTCATTCAAAAAGTAGGAAAAATGTCTTCTTTTTTCCGTGGTATCTTGGTGTATCATGTGTTTTTATTTGGCATTTAATCTGGAGCCCCTCAAGCACAGGAATACTAATGGGGCTCGTGTAGACTCTCACCTGTGCCTGGGACCCCTGCCGCAGGACTTAGAGACGCGGGTCCTGGAACAAGAGAACGGTAGTTTCTGGGCGAAGACCCGGAGGTGGGAAGTCCGAGAACCCAACTGGGAGGATGTGGGAGGCAGGACACCACGCGACCTGAAACCAAGACCTTGACAGGTTTTCCTTTGACCCCCTACAAAACTCAGAATTGAGATAAAATTATTAAGAGTTTCAAGACTGTGGTGAAAGTACATTTAAGCCAGTCCCTCTTATGACACTCTAAGAAGACAGCCCTGTGCGGAGCCCATGTTCTTCATTTGTGATTCTGTTTTTAAATTATACGAACTCAGACTTTTATTTGGATTCTTTTAGTTTAATGTGTGATTTGGGTACAAATAGCTTAATGGCTTCTTCCTGTTTGACTAGTGTCACATAAAGGTAGTTTTTGCCATTAATAAGTCATACACTGAATTGTAACTGTCTCCTTATTCATCTACTTCCCATCATTAAAACTGAGCTCTTGGACTGTAGGGGCTTTTAACCCAGGTGGGTCATAGGCACAACATACAAAAATACATAGGAAAAGACATTTTAAAGACAAATGTTGAGCTTTATGGAAAATGTTTCTCCTGTTTGGGAGAGAGGTGTTAAAAAAATTGATTCCATGTTGCTTTGTGTACTCTTCATGTTCTGTCTACACATGCCACAGGCTCTGTAGTGCTTTCTCTTGAGCACTCCCCTCCTTCTCCAGCACCTCATTTCCCAGCCACCAGTGTGTCCTTGAGCTCAGCACAGTTGTTTTCTACCTTTCCACAGGCCAAGCTGTCTCCTTGGCCTGGGATGCCCCCTACCACATCTGGGTTCTCAAGGGCTACTTTTTAAGACCAGGTCAGGTTCCACCCATCCTTTTTAAGAATCTTATTCATAGCCCCAAAGCAAGTTAATTTTTCTCATCAGCAGTTCATTCTTATATTGTTTACAATAGTCTAATTTGAAATTTCTTTTGTACTATTTTCTTTTACATTATAAGCTCTCAACAACCTTAGATAGTAATTTTTAAAACAACAAATAGTTTTTCACTGTCTCTTGTGTGTTATTTCCAGGTCAATCTATTTCCTCCTTTTGGTGCTACAATCTCAAAAATTATTTTCATTCCTTACAGAGATTATTCTACTAATCTGCTCTCATTAAGCTATGCACATTTCCTCTACTAATAATAACGTATTAATCAGGTTAAGTTTCTCTAGAAGGCAACACATCAGAGCCCACCTCTACATTTTATTCTTGAAGAACTGATCTGGATCAGTTAAATGCTGTCAGATATATCAGATAATGAAACTATTACCATTAAAAGCATCTAGCTTGCAACTGTTTCTCCTCTTTATTACAGTGTTACAATAAGTGCAAGTAAGGATCCACCAGTATGTTCAGTGGGGGATCAGGTTTTTTAATTTCAGTTTTCTCAAGAGTTTCTCAAATCCTACTTTATGTGTCTGCTTGGTTGCATAACAAAATATCACAGACTGGGTAGCTTAAACAACAGAAATTAATTTTCTTTCAGTTCTGGAGGCTAGAAGTCCAAGATCAAGGTGCTGTCGGGGTTGTTTCTGGTGAGAGCTCTCTTCCTGGCTTGCAGAGGCCGCCTTCTTGATTTGTCCTCACGTGGCCTTTCCAATGTGAGGGTAGAGACTCTAAGATAGAGTCTGAGATGCAGACTCCTCTGGGGACTCCTCTCCCACTTATACGGATACCCATCCCATTGGATTAGGGCTTTATATTTGTGAATTCATCCCACTTCCCTACCTCTCTAAAGACTTTTGTATCCAACAGCTATCACATCAAGAGTTAGAACTTCAATGTGAATTTTGGGGGGGGATGCTTCAGTCCATAGCACCCACTTTCTTTAGGAAAAGAAAATTACCCCAAAAGTAATCTTTTCCTGACAACTTTTTTTGCACTATCATTATTCACTTTCAAAAATTGTAACCATACATTTCTGGATTACAAGTAAACTCATGGGTGTTTAGCAATCAGAATGAAATTGAGAAGTAGACCCACACATACATTGACAACTGATTTTCAACAAAGTTGCAAAGACATTTCAGTGGGTGAAGGTATTTTTCTTCAAAAATTGTTCTAGAACTATTGGACATCCACATGAAAAAAATTTGACATTGACTCATATCTCACACCAATACAGAAACAATTTAAAAAGGATCATACCCCTAAATGTAAAACTTAAAGCTACAATACTTCTAGAGGATAACATAGGACAAAATCATTGTGACCTAGGGTTCAGTAAAGATTTCCTGGATATCAGAACAAAAACAGAATATATATGTAAAGATACATTAATAAATTAGACTGAATCAACATTAAACTTCTACTCTTCAAAATACACTCTTACGAGAGTAAAAAGAGAGGCCACACATGGAAAGAAAAATTTTTCAAATAATGTTTTATAAAGGACTCTTATCTACAATATATAAAGAACTCTCCAATCTCAATAAGTAAAGAAATAACTCAATAAAAAAATATGCAAAATATCTGAACAGATACATCACTAAAAAAGATATGTAGACAGTGAACAAATTCATGGAAACATATTCAACATCATCATTAGGGGAGTGCAAATTAAAATCACAGAATGGTATAATTACACACCTATAAGAATAGTTAAAAAGTCTGATCGTATCAAGTGCTGGTGAGGATGTGGAGCAACTGAAACTCTCAAGCATCATTTGTGCACATGGAAAATGGTACAATCACTTTTTTAGAAAGAGTTCAGGAGTTTCTTAAAGTATGCATTCAACACCCATGTGATCTAGGCTGTCTCCTCTGAGAGCAAGACTTGTACATAAATGTTCAGAGGAGGTTCTTTTGTAATATTTCCAAAATTTAGAAAAAACTCATTTCCATTTAATAGAAAAGGAATAATCTGTGGTTTACACACAGACATACAACAAACCAACAATCAGAAATAAGAAACCATGATATATACTACAATATGGATATATTTCAAAATAATTATACCAAGAGAACCCAGACAAAAGCAGTACATACTGTATTATTCCATTTATGTAAAAGTCTAGAAAATGCAAACTAATGTATAGTGACAACAAATAGATCAATGGTTGCCTGAGGACAAGGGAAGGAAGGATTGAATGACTGCATACTAAAGCTATTAAATATACACACTTACCATTCAACTAGCAATTGTACTTCTAGAAAAATATGTAACAGTTATATTGGTTCAAATTAATGATTCATATGTATAAGGATATTCATTGAATAAGTATGTGTAATAACAAAAGATTGGAGGCAACCTGTCCATCAACACATAACTGATTAATGGATACATTAAGAAGAATAATCAGCTATTTATTTACTGGAATGGAAGGCTCTTCATAATGAATTGTTTAATGAATAATTCAAGTGGCATTGAACTATAGTATAATGAAGTACAGTAAAAAAGAAGATTCACAGGAGTGATCTTGAAATGACATGGAGTAATGTCTTAAATTACATGTTAAGTAAGGTAAGTAGGTGACATTGGAGGCTTTGAAGTAGGGTAAAATTTAATCAGTTATTGTCTCCCTAATTAACTATTTTCCTTAACAGTCTGATTTATGAAAAAAGTTTTGGTGGTTGAAAGATCTGAGCTCAGTATCCATCTGCCACTAAATAGCCTTAACACAAGAGTTAAAAAAGGTAATATAACCTTTTTTATTTTAAATGTGGGAGTAACAATTCCTATCTCTTAGATGTTTGGGATAAAATATTTAAACAGTCTGCATTCAAGTTGCTCTACTGCAACTTGCTTCACTTAAAATGTTTATGATTCAATGGATGGTACAACCACACAGCTGGTTGCACAAGTCAGAAATTACACATCTCCTTGATGCACCCATTTGTCCAACTCACCAACGTTGTGCTTCTGCATTCTTTCAAATTCATTTATTCTCTCAGTCTTTACTATCAACCAAATGGTATAGGATACTATATTCTCTTACATGGACTATTACAATGATCTCCTAAGTATTTTGCATGTATCCATACAGCCTGCTTTATCCCAATATGTACTCTATGTGATATATAACCACAGGGACATTTTTTTTAAGGCAAATCTTATCGTAGCCTCTCTTTCTTAAAATACTTCTCATGCATCAAAGGCTCAAGGCAAATGACCACCATCCTTATCATGGCTTCAAATCCTGCATGTTTTGCTCTTCTTTACCTCTCACCCTATACATTGTTTCATGTGTCCCTTTATTTTCTGTTCTTGACCTTCATATTTCCTTATTTACATGGCATGCTACTTATGAACCCTGGGCAATGAACCCTATTAACTGCTGCACTCTAAAATACTCCACAATAGACCTATTCTTTTTTTTTTTTTTTTGAGAGGGCATCTCTCATATTTATTGATCAAATGGTTGTTAACAACAATAAAATTCTGTATAGGGGGGTCAATGCTCAATGCACAATCATTAATCCATCTCAAGCCTAATTCTCGTCAGTCTCCAATCTTCTGAAGCATAACGAACAAGTTCTTACATGGTGAACGAATTCTTACATAGTGAATAAATTCTTACATGGTGAACAGTACAAGGGCATTCATCACAGAAACTTTCGGTTTTGATCATGCATTATGACCTATAAACAATCAGGTCAAATATGAATATTCGTTTGATTTTTGTACTTGATTTATATGTTGATCCCACATTTCTCCTATTATTATTATTATTTTTATTTTTAATAAAATGCTGAAGTGGTAGGTAGATGCAAGATAAAGGTAGAAAACATAGTTTAGTGCTGTAAGAGGGCAAATGTAGATGATCAGATGATCAGGTGTGTGCCTATGGACTAAGTATTAATCCAGGCTAGACAAGGGCAGCAAG